TGACTATAGCGAACTAATAATATATACTCTCTTTGGCGCGTCGCGTTGGTTATATTTATAGCCATGGGAAGGTTTTCTATAAAATTCAGATTACATAACAATACTGAGCTATATTTAAAAGTTTACGTATATAGATATATTGTTGATTCTTACTCTCGAGAATCTTCTACAACTTTGGAGAATAGGCGGGAGTTTCGCAATACATATTTAACACTATAAGCTACGCATGTTTTTAAACATAAACTTAATCTAAACAACGTCAATGTTAAAATAAATATATAATAACAAATTCGTTACAACTCCCTCCTTAGAGAATTAAAAATTGGCTTTAGACAATTTTTTAGCTACGGTATTATATATATAAACATTGAACACATTACATTAAATATAATACATTATTCAAGGGATCATACAACTTCAGTAATCATTACAATCAGGTACCTGACGATGACAAAACCTTGTCGAAACGTTGTACATTTGCTGTTATGTTAAACTTATATTAAAGTTTTTATTCATTACCCATTCAAGCCGCCTCCAGCCATTATTAGTCTCAAAGTGGGTTCCTCGTCACCGAATTTGAATTAATGTAGCTTGTTCCTACCATCTCATTGGAGGCTTAGACTTCGTTAGCCAATACCTAACCTGTGTAACTAGCAACCAATGATATATGGTGGGAGAAAAGTCTTTAACCAAGTCACGCTGACTGTGATTGATTGAGCTTTTAGATGCAACATTGCTTTTATAGAACTGAGAAGAACTGAATGGAAGACTTCAAAGAAAGCAGATGAACTGAGAGTGCTTCCATTTATTGTTGTGGTGTTTGAAGAAAAATACCGTGCATTTCTTTTTCTTTTAGTATAACAAAATGAATGTTTCAACTTTCAGTCAATTTGCAAATTATTCTCATTTTAGCGCACCAGTCCAGGTATTCAAATATAACGTGCAGATAAACAGCTTTAAATTGAGTTAGGCTTATTCTTGTGCCAGTCACACATTATTTAGGGTCATTCCCTTTTGATGTTGCAGTACTAATTGGTTTTCCGGCTACATCAGTCATGTCAAAGTACAGAAGTATTAAATACTTCTTTTCTTTTTTTTATACTAGGGGAAACAATGCAACTGGGTGAGAATGCACTATGGGAAAATTAATCATGCCCAAGATTTCTGTATAACAAGCTGGACAGGGCTGATTTCCAGATAACTGCAGACTTTTCTCATTATTCATTCAGTCAGGCCAGATGGATATGTCTTTCATCTTGTTCAAGCGTTTTAGCTGAATCCGTGTTGTGTTTTGTGTTTGTGTCTTAGAACGTGAATTAACTGTTCTGTTCACATACAGACCTTGGTATCCAGGCTCCTTCCTGAATTATGTTAAGTCAATTTTAGAAACACTCTTCAAACATTTCTTGTTAAACATTTTGTTGTTGTGATCTGACTACCTTTCTTGTCAATTCCCATAATGCTTCTTTCTTTTTTGCAAGTAGTAGCTATTTTCAGTTTCCATTCAATTTCGTTATTATCATTTCAGTTATTTGCTTTTCTTAAATTATTAATTTATGTCTCAACAACATGAATAACAACATTTTAGTCAGTTCCGTTTCTTAACACTGAATGATTTTTTCTGCCTGTTCTGCTATTGAGTATATCAATTTGTTGCGTGAGCGAGGTCACGTGACTAGTATCACGCCACATCCTTCTCGAACCTTCGTGAATTATCGGGAGACTACTAGATTGGGGGTATGCTGGTATATATAAGACGGTCTTAACGTGACGGGGCAATGAGTAATTGAACTGCAGTCAGAGAGTGTGTAATTGAACTGAGTATTGTTGTAGTTGAGCACGTGGGAGACGTTCGTTGAGAATTAAAGCGTTTGTTATAGCGCGACTATTGAAATTAAGTGTATCGCAAAGTTATATTCAGAAAGAATAAACCAGTTTTATTTAAGAAAGAACTTGTGTCGCTAAAGTTTCGTCGGAACGAAGTTACGGAAAAATTAACTAACGAACGGAGACTTGACAATATTTTAGGTTTCTTTTTATGTTAATTGTTTCCACTTCCTTTAAAATTTACGTATTCTTTTTCCAGTTTACACATACAATTTACAGAGATAAATCTACTTGATTTGAATTTACATTTCTAGAAGTAGAATTAAAATTTACTTTAAACAGGTACGTATTTATCTCTTAAGTAACTTCTTTCCCGCATCGTCAAAACTAAATTTGATCAAGATTGCAACTTTCATTAACATTGAATTGTGGCAGAAACACAGATCATATGTGAAATCTCCAGAAGCTGGTACAATAACTTGAATAAGTCACATGGAGGGGACAGAGACTAGAGAATTGTAAGTGACGCGTGCTTAGCATTGTGGAATAGATATTTGAAAATGTTTATTTTACGTACTGACAGCATGAGCTCAAACATAATAAGGAAAATCTTTCAAAATTTCAAAGAAAAATTCCCGTTTAAAATTCATTTTAGTTCTAAAAATATAAAATTTGATAATAGTTCAAATTTTATCAGATACTTAAAGTTAGAATTAAATGGCTTTACACAGGGGAGAACCCGCTTTACTATCCCTATTATTAACTTAGTTTTGTGAAGATGTTAATGCTAGGTGAGAGGAAATGACTGAATTTGATTTACTGAATGTAATGTAAAAATCTTAGGTCTAGACGTCTGGTTGGAATATTATATGTAATGAGGATACAAGGTAAAACGCTGATCGCACTATTCTGCAGATGAATGATAAGACTAAGACTTTTTTTTTAATTATTTTAGTTTAAAGGATGAAATAGCCGAGATGGAACAATAAGTCCAATATTGTCCCAAAACGTTATGTTATGTTAAGTGTTTCGTGAGCGGTCTGACATGTGACATTGATTTTTTTGGTAAAATTATTTTACTGCTAGGTGTACGATGAGATTTCTGAAAATCTATGGCATAAGTGCCCCTGGATGTGGCCGTTTTAGACATAATTACGAGCTCTCAAAAATGCCAATGCAAAATAAAGAACTTCCAATGTTTCCAAATATTGTTACCACATTGAGAATAACGTAACATAATGTTTAGGGACATACTGGTCCATCTAGACTGTCCAATCCTCTAAACTAAACGATTATGTAAAAAAATATATTAAAAAAAAGAGAAAAGCCTCAAAGCTAGCACTTAACATTCATTTAGTTATTAAGCTTTCTCATAAAGTTAAACTCACTTAAAATTAGTGCCTCCACAACATTCTAAAGGCCAACTAACTACCCTGTTGGAAAAATATAAATGTCTTGGCTGAAGATGGCTCCTACCCTTCCAAAATTTATATTTGTGACCCATAGTCCTACTATTTTCACTGTTAAATATGAATAAAGATGATACATCAACACCATCAATTTCCTTAATTATTTTAAACACCTCAAACAGATCCCTCCCAACTCTTCTTTTTTCAAGACAAAACAATTTGAGAGATTTCAGCCTCTCCTCGTATGGCATCCCCTTCATCCCAGACCCCATTCTAGTGACCCTCCTTTGAACTCTTTTCAACAATTCAATGTCCTTCCTAAGATAAGCAGCCCAAGACTGGACACAATACTTCAAATATGGCCAAACCAGTAACCTCTACAGTGAAATTGTAACCTCATTTAGACTTGTATTCAATATTTCTCTAAAATCATACTTGACCTACTACTAGCAACAGCATGCACTTGAATGGCCTAAGAGACTGATTAACCACTACACCAAGGTCCATACCTGTTAAGGTTAGTTCCATCCAAATTACACTTATAATTCAAACTATGATAACCCACATGCATTATCTTGCATTTATTATAATTAAAACCCATCTGCCATTTATTTGCCAAACTCAATAAATGATCTAAATCCTTTTGTAAAGCAACAACATCCTCCTCACAGACAGCAACACCCAAGACCTTAGTATTGTCAGCAAACTTAAGTAATTTATTGACCATTCCTTCATATAGGTTATTGATGTAAATCAAAAAAGCAAATGTTCTAAGATTGAGCCCTGAGGTACCCCACTTGTGGCATTAATCCAGTTTGAATGAAAATAAAATTCTAAACTTTGTTAAATGAATTTGCAAAACATCTTTCAACAGACTTTCCAAAACTTTTCCCACAACTGATGTAAGACTAATGGGTTTATAATTACTGGGACAATTTTTATTACCTCCTTTGAAAAGAGAAGTTATATTAGCTAACTTCTAATCCTCTGGTATCTGCCCACTATTCAAAGACTGACAAAAATAGTAGTAGCTCACATATCCAATCTTTAACCTCCTTCAAAACCCTTTGGGAAATATTATCTGGCCCAGGAGCCTTATCATTTTTAAACTTCCTAATCTTTTCTTAACCAGCTCAGAATTAATACTGTCATTCAGATAATATTTCATTTAAGTTAAGTAGTTTTTTCCCACACCTAACACAAAAGAGCACTCCAAAGAAGGCCACATGTCTATTTCTATCCCTAAATTTCAGAAGGAATCCTACAAAATCTTTTCTAGCAGCTCCTCTGAATTACAAGCTTTTTACCTTAAGAAACACATTGAATTGTTGGAAAGGGTTCAGAGAAGGGTTACTAGAATGGTGCCTGGGATGTTATAAGGGCTGGCCTTAAGATTTATTTATTTTTTGAAATTATTCTGATTTAGTTAAGAGGATGGAACAGCCCAGATGGTCCAATAGGTCCCATGTTGTCCCAAAACACTATGTTATGTTATGTGCCGAGCAATAAGTTGGATAATTTTCTTGGTAAGGATATATTGTATGCCATAGATGGGCTCCATTTAAGCAGGCTTGGTAATAGGATGTTTGAGGAAACTCTAAAGACAATAATTATTAATAGATTAACTAATTGTTTGTTGTAGTGAGGAATTTTAGGAATGTGGATATAAATAAATTGACAAGGAAGCTCAGAAAAGAAAAGATTGAGCATAACAAGATAAATAAAGTTTAAAAGCTAAATATCTTACTTAAAGATAGATAATAGAATCATGAATAATAAGAAAAAATATTAGCTTAATTGCTATTACATTTAATTTAGGAGTATTAATAACAAATAGATAAGTTCAAGACTGAAGGTGAAATGGAGTACTAAAAGCTGTTTGATAGTTATGTACTTTTTTAACCCTATATGCACAGGTGGTGGTCATAGTATGTATGCCGTGACCTTTTACAAGTACCATTTAACATGGTATTGTGTATATGTTATCAGAGATGTCAACTATTTGTTATTTTACCCTTCATTCTTGATTTAACAACATTTCATAGTAGAGGAAAGTAGATAATGTACAGTATACAGGATACTGAAAAAGAAGTTGTAGGTATGCATTTCAGAGACATACTTCCAGGATTATTTCTTAACCTCATATTTCCAATTTCTGTAATAAGGATTTTCTCTGATAACTTCCAAAATTATCCATTGAAGCTCCTACTAGCTTCTTATTCCATTTGTTTTAACTCTTTCAACACGGGGTCTGTCGATTTGACTGAGTCACGTGACCTTCTGTACTCGTTTAAAGTTGACATAAATTTAATACTTCTAACTTTCAATATAGTGTGTATAACTTCAAACAATTTGGCAGTCTTTCAGTTGATATTACAAGTCTTTCACGTACAAAAAGTCATATTTCTTAGTGAAGTACTTTACTAAAATAATAAGTTTTGTCCATGAATATATTGAGTATTTGTTTTGAATAGTCCGTGTGCAAATTAAATTTTCATGTTAAAATTAAAAATACTTTTTGTCATCTCAAAAATCTCAAATTTCCTTTGTGTAATCCCTAAAACCTCCTAAAAGCATTTCAAACGTTTTTTTTCCACTAAATCCTTGTAGATTATATGTTCTTTTCTCTACCCTAATCTCAAAACTGGATCGGTCAATTCGACTGACCTCATAACCACCATCCTCTAAGCTAAACTAAAACTGTTATTAAATAAAAAAAATAAAGCCAGCCCTTATCATTCATATACTTATCAAGCTTTCTCTTAAACTCACTTAAATTTACTGTCACTACAACATCCGAAGGCAACCCATTCCAAAGGCCAACCACTTTGTTCGGTGGTACTGATTTCAGTTAGTTTGATGGACTCAACTACACTGCTGGAGATGATAATATTCCAGTTGAGTCTTCATTAGGAATGATAAAATGGTGTGAACAGGGATCAATCTAGTTGTATACTAAGTATAGATGAAATTTTCTGTATTAAGACTGGAAATTGACAGTAATTTGAGTAAACCAACTACTGGAATATTGTGTTCTAATTTGAATTTTTCTTCTTTCTCAGAAAATATGGAGTAAAATATTGTTGGTTTTGGTAATACATTTCATAGGAATTGTTTGTACACATTTAGAATTAAAGTACATGAGTTGTTACTTATATTTTTAATTCCAAAAAATGTACTTTTGTTAATCAGTTTGTTGGAAATGGTCATGGAGTTCCAGCGAAACATTTTGTTGATTGGCAAAGACAGACAGAAGGATAAAGTTACAAATGAAGATTTGTTTTATTTATAAAAATCTTAAATGTTGCAACTATAATTGAAACTTAGAGATACAAGTGTTTTACCCATGACCATTGCAGATAGTCTAAAGTACATACAATTACTAGGGAATCCTTGTGTTTTTCCACTGAACCTACAAGTACTTTTATTCATTCTAGTGCTCATAATTTAAATGATCCATATTGCCAAATTCTGATATTCAAGAAATTTGCTGCATGAATTAAAAATATACTCATGAACCACCTATTTTGTCTGATTCAGGTGACATTTCTTCAGATCAATGGCTTTATGAGTACAACGTTTATAAAACAATAAATTGTCTGCCAGGTGATGTTATGTTAAAAAGGGTTGTCAACTGTTTAAAAGGTCTTTTTTTTTATGACTGGTTTGTAGTCATGAGATCAGTCTTTGGTATGTAGATGGATTTTGAGTGCAGATTTCAACAAGCTTTTTTAAAGAACACCTTTGAGGAAAACCTATATAAAATACTGTATGAAACTTTACACAAGGATGAAACATTGCCTGCTTTTGTAATTAAAATCTTAGGAATATTAAAGCATTAAAACAACTCCTAGTGGAACAGGTTAAACTAATCTTGAGTCATGAATGTGATAAATATTAAATTTTATTAAACAGTGTAGGAATGCCTGCAACAACCGCTGAATTAATTACTAGGACCCATGATTTGATGGTAACTTGGAGATAATGATGTAAGGCAAGAGGAGTCAGTTAATTATTTCAGAGGCAGATATTCTTCTATGAGAGGTTGATGTTTCTATTATGGTAAGATGGGTCAGGGAAATGAGCTGATGGAAAATTTCTAATGTGGATATTCTCTCATCTGTGCAAAGAGGAGATCCCTATCATTTCAGAAGGTAAACACTTTTGGCGATGTTACATTTTTCTCTACAGTAAGTATAAAAGGAAAACATTATATATTTTTTATGGAAAGTGGTGCCTCTATTTCTATGATCAGTAATTTCCTGGTTTCTGGATTAACCAATAGGAAATTATTGATCTGAAGATGGTATTGATTAACTCACAAGAATATCCAGTTGATAGTGTGATTTCATTATTTTTCAACTTGCAAGGGAGACAGTTTTTGCATAACTTTTATGTTCTCAAGTTCCCCAACTTTACAGTAATATTGAGAAAGGATTTTCTACAAAAATATGAGGTAAAATTGAGTGTGGCCACTTGTGAAATCACAATTCCAGATATTCAACATTATTTGCATAAACAGTTGTCAAGAGTACAAGGAAGGTTTTGATTAAGATTATGATCTAGAAAATGTAGGAATTACAGAAAAGAAGGTGCTTAAAATAGATGAGAATAAAAAACAAGAGGATATACCACTTGAACAAAGTATAGGAGGTACTGATAAAATGGAGTAAAGGAATGACCTAAGAATGAGTAAAGCAGAGAATGGAAAAGTGATAACCAAAGAATTGTAGACAGACATAGAAGACCAGCTAGAAGAGTTGAAGTGTGAATTATGTGACTTGGATTTATATAATGATGTGGGGAACCAGGATGTACCACATCCATTAGGGCTGCTTGATATAGAATTGAAGTAGATTGTCAAGCAGGTAGAGCTCAACAGATTGTTGAAAGAAATTACATTCATTTTTTATTATCACCCTAGATGTACAGACTTAATTACACATCACCTTGCCTCTTGAACTGATTTATATAATGATGTGGGGAACCAGGATGTTGCCACTTGAACTGCTTTATCCTCCATTACAACATTCTTGAATTTTTCAAAATCAACCTTTTTTTTCACTTTAACAGAATATGAAAAAAATCATGTCATGAAGGAACTTATGATTGTTACAAAGGTTTTTAGATAGTTAATTTTATAAGATAGTCTTATGACAATTAATATGGAAATATAGCTTCAGTTTGAGCTTTCATATGTTTTTGTTTTTATTTTACAGATTGTGTGACACACCATATACATTGGACATTGCCTTAACTTTAAATGTACAGAAATGTTTCAAATTATTAAATGAATGAAGTAATGTGGAGGTATATGTATGTATTGAAAAAAAACCAGGAAAATTTAATAATGCCAAGACAGAAAATAAAAGCTGCTGTGAATTTAAGGACATTGCCAGAAAACAAAGATTTTCAAATCAACAAGGAAAGGAAAAAAGTGAGTAAAGTAGTATTGCTATTATTTTTTAGTTAATTACTATGAATACATGCCTCGGATTCTTGGTTATAGTTTTAGATGACCAAATGCTAGAAAAGTATCATGCTCATGTGAGTTGTTAATATTAGTCTGAATTAATGAAGTTGTTTATTACTGCCTACATTGTGATGAAATGGATATCATATGCTTGGTACTTTGAATCCTAGTACTTCAGTTAGTAGAACATTGTCTCAGAACATGATCCAAACATTATATGCGCAAACCTTGTTTAAGGCAGAATTTTTAACATTCTGCTCTAAGCAAGGTTTGAACATATAATGCTTGGGTTATGCTGATGTTCTGAGACAATATTCTACAAACTGATGTACTAGAATTCAAAGCCCCAAGCAAATATATCAGCAACCAGTTAGTAGTTATCTCACTCCTAATGTCATCTGAGCTGATTAGATGATAAAATACATATCTATGCACATACTTTGTTTAGTGTTGCCATGATGTACATTCTGCATATAACGTTTTCTATTGGCAGTATAATAATTCCAGGTTTTCTTGTTGGTGTTGGGAGGTTATGTAATGGTCAGTTATCTGCTATGGTTTAGAGTTTTCATAGCTCAGTTGGTAAAGCTTTGTCCTCAGGAAACTAGTCTGAATCAAAACTCCTAGGTTCAAATTCTGGTCAGGGAGGATTTTTAAATACTTTTATTTTGTGGGTGCCAATCTAATGTATAAGAATGTGAATAATTCTCATATGATTGGTGTCTGAAACTGAGGTGTATGTGGAAAATGCTCATAAAATACAGAAATGCTATAAATTCTATTTTAAAGTTAAATTTGAGATCAAATGTAGCTCTTCACAACCATATACCTATTGAACCAATCTTTAAAATACCACCAAGTTCCTTAGTAAGGAAACACATTATGCCAATAATAATGATAAGTTGGCAAACAATGGCTTTTTAGAATAATGAAATGATTTATTTTGGGAGGAACATATTATATGTTACATAATACTCATTATTAACAAGTTATTCTTTATCTCAAGAATTACCAGTTGACCAACTGATTATTGGGACCATGATTTTGTTGGTTGCAGTCTCTAGTAAAGAGTTGCATAAACTTTGCACAAAAGCTATCAGTATTACAGTTAATCCTGTTAACTCTTTTTAGACTGGTTAGCACCTTTCAGGTTTTTATTGCACACCTGCATATCAGATTTCAAAAGTTAAGTAGAAATAATAATTCTGACTTTAATTCAATAATATTTTTACTTAGAAATATTTTGGAATTGATATATATTGTTATTTTGTAACATTTGTTTACTATAATTCTCAAAGAAAAATGAAACAAATTTTCATATGCATTCTGCACAGTTTTGCCTGTAAATAACACATATCAATGTTTTCAGAATTTTCTGCCACTGCCCAACCAAAATCATTGGCTTATATTTGCTCAAAAATTATCATTCCTTGAATGTTTTTGAGTGCTACTATAGCATGCAGTCTATAAAGATATTTACACTGTAGCATACAGCCTACATAGATACTATTATCATCACCATTTGAATGATTTACTAAAACATAATTTCTTGCTAAATAATTTATATCTATACATGTTTTTGTTCAGCAAATAATAATAATTTAATAAGTTGAGTGTTCCAAAAGAGTACCTTAAATTTAGGTTATAATTGTGCTAGTTTTGATTGTTGGAATTTATTTCATTCCAATTATATTTGCCCCCAAAACATTATTTAATGGTATTTTGTACTTTATTAGGTTAAAAGCATTATTTAATATGCAAATAAATTAAAGTTAAAACAGTGATGATGATAGTGTCTGTGTAGACTGCACGCTATAACATAACATAATGTTTTGAGGCAACATAGGACCTATTGGTCCATCTCGGCTGTTCCAACCTCTAAACCAAATAAAAAAAATTTAAAAATAAAATCTTAAAGCCAGCTCTTATCATTCATATACTCAACAAGCTTTTTCTTAAACTCACTTAAACTTACTGCCTCTACAACATCTGAAGGCAACCCATATCCAAAGGCCAACCACCCTGTTAGAAAAATGAAACTGTCTTAGCTGAAGATGACTCCTACCTTGCCAAAATTTATAGTTGTGTCCCCTAGTTCTACTATTATCATTGTTAAATATGAAAAAAGATGATGCATCCACACTATCAGTTCACTTTACAATCTTAAACACCTCAATCAGATCCCCCTCTAACTCTTCTTTTTTTCAAGGAAAACAATTTGAGAGATTTCAGCCCCTCCTCTTATGACAACCCCTCCATCCCAGGCACCATTCTAGTAACCCTTCTCTGAACTCTTTCTAACTATTCAATGTCTTTCCTAAGGTAAGGAGCCCAAGACTGAACACAACACTCCAAATATGGCCAAACCAGTAACCTCTACAGTGAAATTATAACCTCTTTTAGACTTGTATTCAATATTTCTTTAGATACAATCTAAAATCATACTTGCCCTACTTCTAGCAACAGCATGCACTTGAATGGTTTAAGAGACTGATTAACCACTACACCAAGGTCCATACCTGTTAAGGTTAGTTCCATCCAAATTATACTAAAATTATAATAACCCACATGTATTACCTCTGTAGATACAACTTAAAATCCTATTTGCCCTACCACTAGCAACAGCACATAGCTTGGATGACTTTAGAGACTGATTGACTATTACACCAAGATCCCTTACTTTCATGACACTGTTAAGGTTATTCCCATCCAAATTATACTTATAATTCAAATGCATTATCTTGCATTTATTATAATTAAAACCCATCTGCCATTTATTTGTCCAGCTTGCTAAATGATCTAAATCCTTTTGTAAATCAGCAGCATCTTCATCTTCTCTAACCATGCTTTAATCCACTGAGCTAAGTTATCCTTAACATTCACAGAGATAATTTTCTTCACTGCTCTTTGTCAAAAGCCTTCTGTAAATCAAGATATACCAAATAACCACCATTACCCTCATCAACATCAGTAAAAATAGCTACAGGGAAATTTTAAATACCATTTGACAGAGTGTGTAAAGTGACTATACAGAGTGTGTAAAGTGACTATATAGAGTGTGTAAAGTGACTGTACAGAGTGTGTAAAGTGACAGTACAGAGTGTGTAAAGTGACTGTACAGTGTGTGTAAAGTGACTATACAGAGTGTGTAAAGTGACTGTACAGAGTGTGTAAAGTGAATGTACAGAGTGTGTAAAGTGAATGTACAGAGTGTGTAAAGTGACTATACAGAGTGTGTAAAGTGACTATACAGAGTGTGTAAAGTGACTATACAGAGTGTGTAAAGTGACTATACAGAGTGTGTAAAGTGACTACACAGAGTGTGTAAAGTGACTGTACAGAGTGTGTAAAGTGACGGTACAGTGTGTGTAAAGTGATGGTACAGAGTGTGTAAAGTGATGGTACAGAGTGTGTAAAGTGATGGTACAGAGTGTGTAAAGTGACTGTACAGAGTGT